CTATGGGAATGTAACTGCTGAGAGCTGCTCCAGAATAATCTGGCAGCTGGGAATCTCCTGCCCAGGTCCCTGCCAAGCACATACCCTGTCTCCTGCCTTGAGGGATCCACATGTTCAGGTAGAGACAGTCCTCTTTCCCACGGACATCAGTCTGGGTGAGCGTCATCTGCATGCAGCGATTCTTGAATTCTGTTGCCTTCAGTATTCCTGAGAGGAGAGAGGGAAGACAGCATGTCCTAGTTAGGGACATCACTCAACTCCATCACATCAACTCCAACCACTGTTTTCAGTCTGTCTGTCCACCCATCCTTTGCTCTCTGAGTCCAGTGCAGAGGCAGAAAAGCCTCCTCAGCCACTGTGAGCGGTCTGAGGGAGTGACAAAGTGGGACCCTTTCCCATGTGAACTAGACAGAAGAGAGAGAAGCAAAAATAAAATCCCAAACCAAAGGCATTCAAAGGTTGGATCTTACCATCCCAGCCAGGATGAGGTTCAGGGTCTTGCAGAGTCTTTGGAGGGGCAGCAAAAGGGATGCCTCTGAAGATGTCGACGTAGCTCCCAAACAGTCCCAGTTTCTTACTCTCACCTTCCACAAAACCGCCCTCGGTGAGCACCACACCCAGCTACAGGGGGTACCACGGAGAAGAGACAATCCATTGCTCAGTTCCTCATGCCTTAGTCTTCCCAAGCCACCAGCACCCACACCTTGCCCTGGCCAGTCCCCCACACAGACCCACTCCCAGCCCGCCCTCCCCATCCGGGCCCTTGGAGCCCTGTGGGAAGCCCACGGGGAGGTGCCACTGGAGCTGTGCCCATGCAGATGTCCTGCAGGTGCCCTTTGGAGCAGACAGGCAGCAGCAATTCCTACACACTGCCAAAGATAAAGGGCAGAAGGAAAGGACCTTCAGCCCCCCGGGATAACCCCTCGGGTGTAAACCTGGCCAGACCTGGCACGGAACTGTGCAGGAACTCTTGGGAAAATGTCACTGAGAGCCTTTGCCATGTTGAGGGCAGGAAAACACTGTGCCCCAACTGCCAGGCCTGCAGGCCCTCTGTCAGGGATCCAGACTGGTGTAACAGGGGTTTGCTCACTCAGTCAGAAACAGGCAAAGTATTTTGCCAAGCCTGTAGAAGTGGTTTTGTACTTACAGTCGCAGCCCAGGCCACCCCGAGGTAGGAGCACAAGGCCAAGCACAGGATCCCCCAGCGAGCCATGGTGAGGGCACTCCTGAGGAGACAGTGCCCAGCTGGAGGCTGGTTTATATACAGTGAGGGGGGCAGGTGTGTCAATGCCACGGGCCAGCCTTGGCTCTGAGGAGCCTCCACACACTTGTCCTTCAGTATTCTGAGGCCAGTCTATGGCTGGGGTACAACTGGCACTGCTGTGTGAGAGCCCTGCAGGTGCTGCTTTTGTGGGCTGGGGGCCAAACTCCTCAGGTACCTTTTCTGTTTTCCACATGGCCATCACCGTGGTCAAACTGTACTTTCCACACACAGAGAAGCTTGGGAGTGGAACTTCTCCTCTGTTATTATTCTTTTGCTTCTCTGGTGTATTACCAGCCTGTTTGGGTTCTGACCTCACTCTTGGGAGGTTGTTGAGCTTGCTAGAGGGCTCATGAACCAGTAATTATGAAAATATAGACACCTGTTTATCCACAGGACTGTTGCACACTTTCTTCCAGGTCTGTACAGCAGCATCCAGTGGTTCGGTTGGGATTTCTCCACCATCAAAGTTCACGAAGATGGCATTGTGTGGGCAATGGGCCCTGCTGAGGACAATCAGGTTCTCACCAGACACCTGGGGGTTGTTGCATCCCTCCCTAAGGAGCAGGCAAAGGATCAGAGTTTCCTTCTGCCTGTGGCACACGTGGACTTGGGGCTGCCACTGGAATATGGGAAAATGGAGTTTGTGCTACAGATTTCAGAAGGGAAGGGATTCAGCTGAGTGACCAGTGGGTTGGTTTAACTGTGGCCCAACCTCCATATCAAGGGGCAAAGCAAGAGAGAAATGCAGTTAATTTTTTTTTTTCCCTTTTAAAAAGTGCAGATGAAGGACAACAGTGAGAAAATGAAAGATGTGTCTTGTGGGAGATCCCACAGATTGTTCTTCTGGCAAAACCTATCGGAGCTGGCAGGGCAGAGGCTGGGTGAGTGCGGGCACAGAACATGTGGCAGAAAGCTGGGCTCGTTGGCCCCTGTGCTGTGTGATGTGTGCTGGGAGAGGCAGTCCAGACCTGCAGTCTTCACCACATCATCAGGGCCCCTCACCTGGCAAATCCTCTCTTGTTCCAAATCAAGAGGGATAAAACAGAACAAGGCAGCAGCTTGGATGGGCGATGGCCCCCATCCCATCTCCGGCTGATGCAACCAACCTTCCCTCCATCCCCGAGCTCCCCATTTCCCATGGGTATCCAGCCAGGGTTTCCAGGGCATCCCCAGCACAGCTGAGCCCCCTGCCATGGAGTCGTTGAGTCAGGGTTGGTGGCACCTCTGTGTGTGTTTGTGTGTTGGTGTTACAGCTGCTGCTGTTCCTCTCGCTCATCCCAGCAGGGTGGGAACTGGGTGTGTTCATCCTGTCAGAGCTCTGGGATGGGGTAGAAACAGAACCAGCCCCAAATACCCAGGAGCCTTGAGGCAGCCTCCCTCCACAAAGCCGAGAGCCTGGCTTAAAAATTGTGATTAATAGGAAAAGAGCTGTATATTCACTGTTTTCAGCCTGAAGGGTGCAGCAGTACCACATTTTAATGGGATCGCAGAATATACCACGTTGTAAGTGATCTCCAGGGTCGTCTGGTCCAAACTTCCTTGGCAAGAGCATGGTCTAGACAAGACAGCCCAGCACCCTGCCCAGCTGAATCCTACATGTTAGGCAATCCACCACTTTCTAGGGGAGATTATTAGAGGGCCTGATTGCTCTCACTGTGAAAAATTGTTCTCTGGTATTCAACCAGAATCTCCCCAGAAGCAACCTGTACTCATTGCCCATCCTCTTTTCCACGTGATTCCATGTAAAAAAGGGAATCTCCATCTTTTCTGTAGCCACTCTTCAAATATTGGAACATGGAGATAAGAGTGGAGTAGAATTCCATTAGGGCAATATTACCTCTCCTATCTAAGGTCTGACTGAAGTTTCTTCTTCACTTCCTATTCTATAGACTGTGCACCATGAGCTGTTAAGCAGATCCTGTGTTTCCCCTCAGGAGTGGCTACAGCAGGGAACAAAAGGGCTGTGATACAAAAATATGACACAGTGGACAGAACTGCCAGAAGTTAAAACATTATTTCTAACTGCCCTCTGCTATGTCTCAGATACCAAGTGACTTGCAGATCTTTTTTTGTTCCCAGAAACAGTGATGTTCAAAGTGCTTCCAGACTATGGGAAGTCTTGGTTACAGAGAGCAGAAACTCCTTGTGAAAACAATTTGCTTAGTGGAACTTTGTTCCACTATAAACCAGAATGGACTATTCAGTTCTCATCATTACCAGTAAAAATTCCTATCAGCTCCATGCAATGCCCAGATAGTAGAGGGCAGAATATGCCTCATTTCCTTCCCCATTGTGTCCTCTTTTATCCTTAGCCATGCTTCACAGTGTAAAGGATCCAAACTACAACCCTTTTTTCACATTGTCATTGCCCTCCTCTGAAAAAAAAAAAAAAAAAAGCAAAAAAACACTCTCTTTCCCGGGCATTTTCATCCTTGGCTTGTGCAACTTCACCAGCTTTTATCTCCCTCCTCTGAGCCGCAGCTTTTCCCCGCTCACCTCCGTAATCTGACATTGTGATTTGTTCACTTGGGTGCTTGTTTTTCTCCCTGAAGAAGATTTGCTGAATCATTGGGGAGGAGGCAGGAGCTGCAGAGGCAGCTGGTGGCCAGTGATAAAACCACGGCCACACATCCAGCCCTCAGGGTTTGCACTTGACAGCCCTTCAGTTGAAGGCCTGAGTCACATTCCCTTCCGAGCTAAGATTGCTGGGGACTTTGGGATTGAGGAAGTGGGGATGAGGAGGTGGCACTTCTAAAGAAATATAAATTATTGTTCCTGATAACCACAAGGCTTGTGTTGTATCTCCTGCAAAACTTATGACGGCGCTGTGAGAACTTTCAGGCTGGGGGCTAAATCCTGCTGAGTGTTGGATGTTGTGCCCACTTCAGGGGGAACATAGGGTTAAGAAAATAGGAATTTGGCTTGGAACAGGTGAGGGAAGGAAGTGAGTTCTTCCAGACTTGCAGAAACGAGGTATACTGTGAGCAAAGATGTGCCAGGGCTCCGAGACAGTCACCTGCCTCTTTTTTGGAGACAGTGCACCAAATTCCACTGGTACAACTTATGCAGCTGCAACAGGTCTGAATTCTGCCCACTGCCTAACAGAGACATGAGCTGGGACCTAAAATGACTTGGTTCATTCTTTAGGTCTTTTACTCTCTCTCTCTATAACCTCGAGTTACATTCCCTCTCTTGGTTTCCTTGCAGTAGAACAGGGATAAGGTGTTGCCATTTTGAAATCTTTAGGCAGTGTGAGCTCTTGAAATGCAAGGTATCATTAGTCTTGCTGACTCTTGATTAGGTCTTCTGCTCTGTCAGCTCTGCCTTTACTGAAAACACTAAAAAATGAGGGTTTTTGCATATTTTTGTAAGTATGTTCCAGAATTCAGAAATAAAATCCTATCAATAGTAGGATACTATACCAATGATACTTTTCCTAAGATCAGAGTTTTAACTTGGGTTTTTCTACTTAGTTGTACTTCAAGGAGGTAAGATGGAAAGCTGGTTAACAAACCAGACTGAAAGTCCAGTTGACCTGAGTTCCATTTCTAGCTGTCCCTCTCCAACTTGGGCAAGTACTTTAAAGGGAACAATGCAGGCTGACAGATCCTGATGCAGAGACGTCGCTTTGATGCTTTATGGGCATCCTGTGTGACTTTCCAGTGAATTACTGCACATGTGGAGGAATTCTACCATGCTCTGATCTGCAGGTCTCAAAGCATGTCCATGTTTTTATCCTCTCTTTGCCAAAGGGAAAGCCTGAGACATAGAGAGGGGACAGCGAGTGGCTGAGATCAGTGACAGGTCAAAGCCAGGAACACAACCCTCCTTTGAGTTCTGAGTGTCATATGTAGGTTTCTCTATGATGCCACAGTATCAGAAAAGGCAGCTGCAGTTTCTGGACTCTCTTTTCCAGGTGCTGCCACACCTGGGTGCCCACTGAGCCTGATTGATTTACAGTCAAGCTATTCCAGGATGGATCTAAATAAGGAGCCGTGGCAGGGATGTCTGACTGACACACTGGTTCACCATGTCCACGCTCTCAGGATGGGGCCCTTTCAGGAACAGGAATGCTCTGTCATTTCTGACTTCCCCTTCCTCAGCTGAGACAAGAGATAACTTCTATTTTATAAAGAGTAGAAACCAGAGAACTTGACCACTGCCAAAAATCCCACCAAAGCCCCCAATATAGAGGAGCCTGGGATGTAAGATAAAGTCCTATTGCTTTAAAATTATTCGAGAGGAAGACAGAATCAATGGGGAAGGGTTTTAAACCCCTTATTCCTCAGGAGGAAGCCTTGAACCTCAGAGTTGCGTTGGCCAGTGCTGAATGTGACCGTTGCACTTCGGGCTTGCTGAGGGGCCTTTGAAGCACAGAGGAACTAAATGGCTTAGAGGTTGCTCACGATCTGGAGAACAGTAGATTGTGGGCTGGAACAGAATCAGCTGTGGGAAACTTGGCCTGAGAGTGGTGCAGAAGCCACAGGGGTGTGACTCATCTCATGTAACTTTAGATGCCTTCGGATACTCAGCTCCCTTTGTCCCCAGGGAGAGCAGTAGGTGCGTAGAAGGCAGAACTGCAGTCCTAGTTTAGGTATGTGCTTCAGGAGGAGCTGAATTGCTTCCTAGATATGTTACTTACCAAAAAGGGAGCCTTTGAGTCACTAGTTGCAACTGGAGATCTCCTGACCTACAGTGCTGCTGCAGGTTTCCTGCCTCATATCCCATGGAGAGCCTGGGACAGCACTTGAACCAGGCAGCCAAGGGTGAACACACCCTCCCAGCACAGGCCCAGGGCTGGCACTGGGGTCAGCTCTCAGTAAAATAGGCAGGATTCAAGACACCAGTTTGAACCAGAAGTGGGTGGGATGCAGGATGATGGCTGTCCATTTGGTCTGGATGAGCAGTGACCTGATAACAGGTGTGATGGGCTGAAGAAACACGTGTGTTGAAGCTGCTGATGTGACTCTGGTTCTATCCTGCATGGCCCAACCTCATCAGGGCAACCTGCAGGAATCTCTTAGTACCTCCCTGCCATGGCTGGGGTACATGGACAGGGAGCTTGCACAGGTCCAAGGGAGCTCATCCAAGCACAGGAGATCTTCAGCTTTACTGATCTGGTTTTTGCTGCCCTAGGAGTAGATATGAAGTGGTATTTGCTGGCCCATGCTCTTGCAGCTCAGATGAGAATGGTCAGGTTTTACCCTCTTCTATTCATTCAGGGGTTTTAACTATTTTTCAGAAACAGAGCAATTATCTGTACACCAACCCTTAGTGACCAGTGGAATTCCCACGTGGTAGATCCCCCTCCCAAACTCAAGGAGAGCAGCATGGAGGAGAAGTGCTGCTCTGGGCACTGAAGAGGAGCAGCTTGCTCAGCAAGCATCTGGATTGTTTGTTGCAAATCTGACTCTCCTCCTGGGCGATGCTCCCAAGAAAACCTACCCCCCTCACTCCCCCAGCCCCCACTGGTGACATCTGCAGCTCTCCTGCTGCACTTCCCGGGTTATTTGCATGGATGGGGGCTCCCTGCCCATGCCTGGGTGGCAGAAGCGAAGGGCTGACAGGCCTTTCCTGCCAATCTGTCTGTTGTTCAGACGAAGTGGTTGGAAAGTGCTCACTCTCCAGTTCCCTCTTTGGCTCAGGCACTCTGATAAGGCCTGGGCTGTCCTATCTTGCCCTGGGAGCTGTTCCTCCTCCCTAACAGGCTCTCTGCCCCGGCTGACAGTTAGCAGCCGGCAGTGCTTGATAAACTTATCAGACCAAAGCTGAGCTCAGAGCAGAACTCAGCTCCTCCCCAGCCTCAGATTTCCCCACTCCTGGGGACTCTCTGCTCTCTGCCTGCCTTGCTGTCTGGTGCAGTGGACACCAACCACCCTCAGGCCAACAGGTCAAATCAGCCCCAGGACCAGATTGAGAAGTGCTCGTGTTGAAGCAACACATTTAAAATGAGAGCTCCAAGAGGGATGTTTAGAGTATCCATATTCACCTCTGTCTCTCTCCCTGAAATAATATTCACCAGTGGAATTCATGTCTGGCTTATCCTCTCTGAGGTTGCTGCTTGCCCTGTTCCTCTGCTCGTCTGGAGCTGAGTGGTTTTAATGCAGGTTCTCACTGTGCCTGTTGGAGGATTTCTAAGCCATGGAGTTGGGGTGCTTTGCTGAATTAAGTTTCTATCACTCGTTATCACCGTCACACTCGGGTGTCCCAGCCCAGATCAAGCTCCATTGTGCGAGGTGCTGGATGTGGAAGATAAGGAGGGGCAGTCTCCTTCCTGATATCTCACTGTTGAAATAAACAAGTGAAATGAAGGGGAGAGGGGGAATTATTATCCTCCTCTCACAGATGTGGAGCTTCTGAGAGCTCCACAGTGTGCTGGACAACTTCAGAAATCCAGTGCTCGTGTCTTGCCCGAAGTCACACAGGAAACGTGTGGCACATCTCAAGTCTCAGTTTGGAGTTGCAGCCTCAAAACCAGTGTGTGTGTCCATGGGGACTGTCAGCTGTAAGATGGTGGGTCAGGATCTGTGTTTTCTTAGGTCTTACCCAGCACAGAGATCCATTCCCAGGTCAGGCCCTTAACGGCAGGCAGGAACACTTCCCTGCACAAGGAAACGTGTGTGTGCAGCTATTTCTGGGAGATTGCCTAGTGCCTTCAGGTTTCTCCCTGTGTGCTGTGCTGACGGGCTGGAATTAACCTGCTGATGTGTCTCCATCACCTCCAACTGGGGGAACAACCTGCTGTGAGGACAAGGGACTCTGCTCTTATCTTTCTTTCACTGAAAACACTTTCTCCTGAAGTCTAAGGCGGGAAACAACTTGGCTCAACAAATAACCTTTTTCCCCCAACAGAACCTATACCCAGCTGGAGTCTTATTTTTCCCTGTCCTTCCTCTCAGTTCTTTTAAGGCCTTCTCTAAACCATTGCCTTCAGGTTTTTGCCTTCTCCAGGATTCCACTCCATGAGGTTGATACAACCTGAAAATAAGCTCCAGCCTAACGCTGTGCTAGCTGGGAACACACCTCTGCTTCCTGCAGGTGTCCCGTGGCTCTGCCTTCATTAGGAGGAGAAAGATGCACCCTGTGTCCAAACTCAAATCCACCTCTGATCATAGATCTTCTGGGCTGCTGCTCTCAGGGCCTGAAGGCTGTCTGGAAGATGCAGAGACACCTCTCTCCTCCTGCCAGATGCCCGAGGTTATTGCTTTGCATGTGCCTCATTTGCTAAACAAAACAGCCCAAAGACCAGGATTTTCAATAAAGGGAAGAAGGTGTGAAGAGCGCTAGGGAAGTGCAGGATACAGGGTGGGCTCAGGCTGGGAGTGAGGCAAAAACAATCAGCTCTTTCTTCAGCCACAAAGATTAGTTGAGATTTTGCTTTTTGTTATCTGTTTCCTTGATTGACTGACCAGAATGTTTTTGATGTGAGGGGAGATGGTGAGAAAGGGGTTGTATCAGAGTGGTCGGAACTGAGCAGGATTTGTGCGTTTGGAGAGCAAGGCCATGTGTGTTTGGAGTTGGTAACATCCATGCCCTGATCCTGACTGGTGCTGGGCATCCCTGGGTAGCCACTGTGTGGATTCAGGAGCTCCAAGGATCAGGGCAGCCCTTTGCCCACTCCATGTTGTGTTGGCAGTGGAAGGCTCTCCCCTAGCCTGGTGTGGTGAGGTTTGGGTAATGCCAGATCTGCTTCCTCGCTCCTTCACCTGCATTCCAGAGCTTCAGGAGTGCAGGTGTTCAAAGCCTACAAAAGAACTGTTTGCTCCAGAGCAGAGTCAGACTGGATCCCTCCATCCTCTTCCTCAGGAGATGGCTCTCCTTGATCAGGGATCGCAGTGAACAAGGGGCTGTGGGCTCTGCCTTGTTTTTCCTTTGGGCTGGTGGCACCCCTAGGCCTAAAGGAAGGTCAGGGCTGAGGCAGCATTACCTGGTGACCTGAAAGTGGCACCTTTTTACTCAAGAGGAAGAAACTGTAGTGTCTTATTGGGAAAACGCTGCAAGTTAATTCCCTCTCCTCCTCCTCCCTTCTCGGGTCACCTCCTGGCTCTGGCTGTGCTGTCTGGCTGGTGCCTTTGCCAGCTGGACTCCATCCACAGCCTGTGCTTCTGGAGATACGCTCCCAGTGCCTGTGGGAGGGGGCCAGCCTGGATCCCCTGCACTGCTCTGCCCACAGATGTGTTTTCCTGAGCACAGCACAGCCTTCAGCCACCCCACTCTGCTCCTCCACTTGTTGCCCATCCATCTAAAGCAGTCCCTGCCTGTCCTGGGATGTGCTCGCCAGGCTCCTCACAAATACCAGGCTGAGGCTGACGCTGCCTCCTCCAGTGTAGCTGCTCTTCAGGAATCTCTGGATAGCTCAGGAGAGAAGCTCCCAGCTGTCCCATTGAAGGGTTTTGCTCCTCTGTATCATGGAAACCAAAGATAGGGATGGATATCTGAGGGATGCTCCAGCCCTCCTTCCACAGGCTCCAAAGAACCAGCTGCCTGGTTCTGTTTTGTGCCTGCTCTTGCAGGCACTCTTGCCATAGTGCTGGTTGGTGGTGTGTGCCAGCACTTGCCTCCAGAATGGCCAAAACTGGGGAGCTTCACATGAGTCAGACACACCTGCTGTCCCCAGGACACACACGAGGAAGTCTGTGCTGGTGTGTCAGTGTGGTTTGGGGCTGGGGGGTATTTGCTCCTGAGCAGCTGACACACTCTTTAAACATTTCTCTTTGCAGGTTTGTGGAGGACAAGGGGAACAACAAGCACTGACGGCATTTTGAGCAGTGGTTTTAATAAGCTGAAATGACTTTACCTTGAGCAAGGCTTGTGCATGTGTGAGAGTATTCCCCTGTGTTTGTGTGTGTGTGTCCCTGTGCCACAGCCAGGACCAGCTCCATCACAGGTCAAACACCTTCCCCAGAGGCCCTGCCCTGCCCAGGTTCTGGCACGACTCAGGAAAGGACAGCAGAGATTTACTGGGGGTTTGGTGGTACCCTCTGGACACACATTCCTGTGTATCTGGGGTGCTCCTCCTGCTCTGGAGAGCTGACTCTGGCCTGTGTGGGACTCTGCACCAGTCTGTCTCCAGGGATGAAAACATCTCCCTGATGGCAGCTCTGTTCTGCGTGTGAATTTCCATCTTTATTTCCCCTCAAACCATATGATACAGTACACTCTGCTCTTTCCTCTCTCATTTTCCAGCCCATCCCCAACTCCTGCGTCTCCAGAGCCGAGTATGAGCCGTTCTTGAAATGGGTGTTTTGAACATGAAATGCACTCTGTTAGCCCAGTTACTGAGAGGGAACAGATTTATCAGATAAATCCCAGCAGGCCTCTACACGTTGTCACTGTCTGGTACAGAGCAATAAAAATATACATTACAATAAGTATAAATACATATTTACAGTGTACAAGTAAAGCCAAGAGTACAGACTCTGTTTTGAGCTTCCAGAATGCATATTAATAACTAACAGCTCAGGCACAGCATAAAACAAGGGCAAGTGCATTTTAGGTCTTAGGAGAATAACTTTGGATTTACAGCAGTGTAACTGAGGGCAGGACAGACAACTCTTCTCTCCTGGCAATGCATGAATTTTCCACTTGGACCATTTGTCTTTGCCCACTGTGGCAGCCTTCCCTCATAAACCTTTGGAGTGAAATTGTGGTTTGTGCCACAGCCCATTCCCAGGGTAATTCCCACTGGTGTCATTGTCCAAGGCCGTGTGTTCAGGGATGTAGTTATGGAGTGGGCTGTGTGCTGCTACAGTGCCCTGCTTAAGTGGAAGCACTTGCCTTATTTGTGTTACAATAATACTTTGTCCTTCCTTTTAAGAACTCAGGGGACTCCACAAACCTGAGAGAACGACCCCACGTCACCAGGAAGGGGGGGAGAAACAAAAGCCCAGTGCAGTGACTTGCCAAAGGTCAGAGAGGTAGAATATAGCAGAGCTTGGAGTGGAACTGGTTCTTTACTTGTTCCAGAGCTTTGCTTCACCCCCTGGACCTGAAAGGAGGAGGAAATGCCACTGCTCTGTTTGTATAATATTTGTAAGGTACTTGAATACTCTGCCAGCGTGTAAAGGCTCAGCCACTTCCTCCTTCAAGAGGGGCTGGAAAACAGGACTCTGGCCCTTGGCATCGATATCCAAGGGCCAATCCTGACCATGCAGTGACCCAGGACTGCCCAGGACAGCTCCAAGTTGGTATGCACTGAAATGTTGTGGGACATACCAGAGCCCAGATTCCAAGAGCAGCCAGACTCTCCCATGGTACCAAGACATGGGGCTCATGCCTGGTGCTGTGGCATGGCCCTTCCTGGAGCTTGCTTGCTTGCCACCAAGCCAGGGATCTCTGCAGCATGGTGTGTCTGAGGAATGTATTTGGAGACCCCTGTTATCAGCTAGGGATAGGAGCTGTTTCTTCAGTATTTTCCTCCCACTCCAAGCTAAAAATACAGCACAGTTAACTTGTCATTTGATCACAGTAAATGCTCTGCTGAAAGAAATGACTTTAGGTGTCTGTTGGCAGAATTTATGGCCTGGGCAAGTCTCTGCAGAAGCCCTGTCCAGGCTGAACACAGCTCACTGAACGCAGTCTATTTGCATGACCTGGCCTTATCTTCCCAGCCATCGGAGCAGGACTGGCTTGGCACAGGTTGTGGCTCCCACTGACCCAGGAGTTCCCAGCTCACTGCTGGGCAGCCTGAAAGAACTGGATTCTGCACATGTTGTCAGTGCAGAGTAACAGTGACCTTGGAATTTCTCTGGATTTGCACTTGAGCAGGTAATGTCAGATCTGGGCTGGTACCTGTTGTTGTTGAAAAGTAAGGACCCTCCCCGTCTCCCTGGATTTCTTTGGGATGTGCAAGGCCCTGGGGTGCCAAGCACCAAAGCCAATGACGTGACTTTGCCAGTCCCCAGGAGAACACAGGATGCCATATGAGTCCCACACCGGATGGAGATGCTGGGGACAATCTACAGTGGGAGCTCCAGCAAACACCTGGAGCCCCTCCCTCACTTGAGGCTGTGCTGGGTCTCCCGGTGCCTCCGCAGGTCCACCTTGCGCTGGAAGCCCTTGGCGCAGAGCTCGCAGCTGAAGGGTTTGAACCCGGTGTGTTTGCGGCTGTGGGTGATAAGGTTGGAGCTCTGGCTGAAGGCTTTGCCACACACCTGGCATTTGTGGGGCTTCTCACCTGCAGGGGCACAGAAAATGGTGAAAAAAACACACTTTAACAGGTGAGAGAAAGGAGGTAGAAATGGCCTTCAGCAGACTCAGACCTGACTGGCTGTGCTTGGGCACCAGGGTGCTGCCAGCCCAGCCGTCCTGGGCACACTTCTGGATTGTGAGGGTGGGAAGAGCCAGAGGCAGCCCTCTCCAGCTGGCTGATCTGTGCCCTGCCTGCATCCAGGGCTGGGGACAACCATGTCATGTACCAGAGGCTGGTCAATGAGCACCTCCTTGTCACACAGAGGAGGATGTGCATCCCAGGGATGCTGTGACCTCCTGCCACCTTACCACACAGGGAATGACGACTTTCCAGTGCCTCTGGACTTAACCCTGCTCCAACACTGCTGTGTCTGGTGACTATGTGTGTGCTCCAATCTCAGTTTGCCCACTGGGGATATTCTGTTTCTCACCAGTGTGGATGTAAGTGTGTTTCTTCATATCCGACTTCTGGTGGAAGCGTTTGCCACAGTACTGGCAGGGATAGGGCCGTGTGTCCGAATGGATCAGCAGATGAGTGGAGAGGGTGGAGGAACGTTTGAATGTCTTCCCACACATCTTGCACTCAAAGCTTCTTTCCTGTTGGGGAAGGAAAATCATGGGATGTCTGAGGCTGCAAGACATGTGACAAGAGCTTGAAGAGTGAGGAGAATAGTAGATTTGATAAGCAAATCTCCTTGGCTCCTGGACTGACATGCTGGGAGCAGCACAAAGGGAATGCAGGAGGGTTACTTATGGAAATGGATTGCATCTTGTGATCCAAACTCCTGCACCCTTTAGGAGGAGGTGAGGCACAGAAGAACAAGCAGTAACGATCCTCCCCTCCCATCCAAGGAATTCTCCAGGGCAGTCTGAGATTTGTGAGGCCAAGATCTACGATCTGTGGTCCTCAGAGCTCCCGCTGTTGTCACCGGGTGCCACAGGAAAGGCACCTCGTTTGTAACCGAGGAAATGTCACTTCCTCTGTGATGGATTAAGCAACAGCCAAGGTCCGAGCCCTCATGAGCTCTGGACAGCTGGCTCTCTGGACACCTCCTGCCCACCTGGGAGTGGATGTTGGTATGCTGCTCCAGGCTCACAGCGTGCCCAAAGGTTTTGCCACACACTTCACAAGCAAAGGGCCGGGTCCCACTGTGAGACCTTCGGACGTGGACCTCCAGTCCGTGGGGAGTGGAGAAAACCTGCAAAACAAAATGCCAGGGATCATTTTTGGCATGAGGTGGCTGTGTCTCCACCTCTATTTTCAATTCCTTCTCTTTATTTGATTTTTTTCCCCTCTTGTGGACCACGTGACCTGCATCACTCCCAGTACTTGCTCCCCTGACTAGGGGACCTGTTTTGAGCCACCTGTTGCGTTTTGGCGTGACCCAACATTCAGTGAAAATCCCTGCAGGCCCTCCCCATCCCCGAGGTTCTCCTGTGGCACACACCTTGTTGCACTTCAGGCAGTGGAAGGTCTCCATGTCTGAGGAATAGTGCATGCTGTAGTCCAGGGGAGGCTCGGAGCTTGGCAGGAGGTGGCTGCCATACAGGCTAACAGGGTGCTCCAGCAGGGCTGACTGCATGGTGGAGGACATCTGCTGGTAGCTGTATGGCACGTGGAAAGCATCCCAAGAGAAGCCTGTTTTGTAGAAGGCGGGGGTGGCTGTGTTGGTGCAGTCCTTGATCTGCAGAGCTGGGATGGGCATCTCTGAGTTTGCAGAAGAAAGGGAGAAGTGAGTGTCACACCACTGCCTGAACTTGGGCACCAGTAAAAAAGTTCCCCAGCTGCCATTTCTCCACTGAATGCCTTGCCTGACCTTGGACCTGGAGTTCCAGCTGGCAGCTCCTCAATTCAAATCCCAATTCCCCATGAAAAGTTCCTGTTGTGACTTTATTCCCATCTGAGGAAACTTTATGGCAAAGAATGCCATGGAAATGTTATGGCTAAAGGAATATTAAGCCTCCTGCTATCCCTGCTTCATGGAGTGTTTGAACAACAGATGGACACCTGCCTTGACCACAGAGCACAGAACTGCACTGGCATGGGGAGGTTCACCCATTGGGAATCACCCTTCAGGGAGATGCTGATCAAGACCAGAATTGTAAAGGGAAGTACAGAATGCTCCCCATGAGCTCTGCCTGGGACAAGTTTGACCATTGATGTTAAAGTAAGAGCTGCCATTTACTGAAAATCTGGGCCCAGCTTTAGGGGCTCCATAAGCCAGCCCAGCCCTGACCTCGTTTGCAGTTGTGGTTTTGGGAAGCAGACCTTGAGCTGAAGGGCCTGGCAGCATCCTGCTCAGGTACTGGACAGGGACACTTTCTTCCTTCAGTTCAGGTGGGTCCTTTTCTTGTTTTGGAACCACACATTCCAGGTCCTGTTTCTTGATGTCCTCTGGTGTCCTGTCTGCCGGGGCTGTAACACAGAGCAGGGTCACAGGTGGTTCTGGTTGTTACAAGGAGAGTCTGTTCAGGTGAGTTTTGCACTCCTGTATGAACTCGTGCTTGGATACAGGAGCCTGTGCTCAATGCCCTGGATAAGTGCAGAGTGGTGCAATCAGCAGGGCAATCAAAGCCTGTCCATTGCAAAGGGAAATTCCAAGCAGGATGAGACTGGCAAGGTAGAGGGGGGCAGGATGAGATGGCAGGACACTTGATATCCTCTACAGTGAGAGCAGATTAACACTAGAAGGCCATATATCTGTAAGAACAATTTCCCTATTTAAAACCATTTCCATTTGCGTGGGTAACTAACAATCACTAACTTATTAACCTCCCCACCCCTCTCCTAAGAGAGCTGGGTATTGTTAACCTGGATTTATGGACAGCCAAGTAGGGAAGCAGAGAGGGGAGGTAACTGCTTATGCAGTTGCAAAGACTACTGAGCCTCACTTTCTTCTGCCCACACTCCCATTTCTTCATGTTGTCCCAGTCCTTTAAGAGACCAACCAGCACTTTTTAGAAAACAGATTTTGTTGTAAGAATCTAAAATGGACAGAGGTTCAACATATGTGCCTCCTTTATGCTGGAGATGGGACAGGTCTGCATTTATCTGCCATCAAACCCCTCCAGTGCACCAAACAGACATAACCAATAGTCAAAATATGATGGCAGGAACTGAAATTAAAATGTCACCTCCTTTCCTTTTTATCAAACTTATCACAGGGTTGGACTCGAATTTGATAGCCAGGGCTAGAACAAAGAGTAAGTTGATCCTAGATTTGAATAAAGAAAATTTGAATGGTGCCTGAAGGAAGAAGATAATTGGCCCAGCCCTGCCACGGCTGGGATGGCTGTGGGAGAGTGGGAACAGGAGCAGAGGGAGGGCAGCAGGCAGAGGCAGAGGCTGTGTTGGTTGATGTTAATAGAGAGCAGCTGGCCCTTCACCTGGGAGTGTGTAGGACTCCTCACAAGCAGTGTTAGGGTATCCCTATATTTTCTCACTCAGGCTATTGCCTTCCTTGCAAACCATCAGGAAGAGGTGGTAACATACTGAGGTGGAGAGGGTGTAGTCCAGAGAGAATGTGGGCACTGAACATGGGAAGCTGGAGATGGAGGTGGCAGAGTTGTGAAGAGTTTGCAGAAGACTGACAACCTCTTTGCCCAGCTGTTAGAAATTGGCCTTCTACCCCAAATGTGACCAACTCCACACAGCAATCTTACATCTCAAATCTCCCCAGCAACTGAGCAAGGAACAAAGGGAGGATCTAAATTTGGGGTTGTGGATTTGGCATGGAGAGCAGACACACAGCAAGGGATCGGTTTGTCCTCAGACTGACGTGCCCGTGTGGAGGCCCTTTGATGCTCTCCAGCTCACTCACCCCACTCCTTTAGTTGCCTATTCAATGATTGGTTTGCTTTGTTCTTATTTGGTGTGTTCTTACAAGCCCAGTGGAGGGACTGACTCACCAGTGAAGGCAGAGGTCACTGGGCCCCACGTGAGTGCAGGCAGGTCATCTTCCACAAAGCGGTGCTGGTGGTAGGTATGAGCCTTTTTGCTCTTCACCAAAAAGGAACGTGGCATTTTCCATTCACTCTCTGGGCAGAAACACAGAAAAGCAGCAGGTAAATCTCTGTGGCTTAGGGAGCAGTTTCCCATTTGTTCCCCCAGCACAGCAGCTCTGTAAGCAGCAGCGATGAGGATTAAAACTTGTGGTAGGAGATGAAGAGACCACCTTGAAGGTCCCTCCTGACAGCTGAGAAGCAGGGAGGGGTTGGATGGGTTTAGGTGTGTGGTGGATCTCAGCTCTGGGGAGAACACAGAGCTGTGGAAGGGGCTAAATGAAAAACTTACTGCAAGGTGGTCTCTGACACTGTAAAAATTACACTTCACCATCTACCCCGGGTTGAGGCAAAGGATTACCCCAATCTTGATGTTGTATGTGGAAAAACAGAGACAGGCTGTGTACAGACCAAAACTACCTGTGGCAGACATAGTGGAAGTCAGGATCTATCTCTTGTAGCTCCCTGCTCTGGCCACAGGACGTGGTGCCTCTTTGATCTTACCCTCCATGAGAGGACACAGTGGGAACCACGGTTTGGAGATCCCCCTTGGAGAAAGGGCCTGGCTGAGCATTTGTACTGCACCTGGAAGAGCCCAGGACCTGGGCTCTTCTGTGAAATTGCTACAGAAACACTAATTACAGAAACAACACCAATAACAGGAGAGAGACAGCAGAAAATCCATGATGTGTGTGTGGGGGGGTCTCCTTGTCGAGTAGCTTGAGTGGTTTGTGTTCTGGCTGACAAAGAGCAGTGGGGCAGAGGCAGAGAAGGAGGGCTGGTGAGAGGTTACCTTTTGGACCCGACTCAAACATTGCAGACCGTTGAAATGGCGGGTGAGGGACAAACATAAAATGCTGAAATTTAATCACACAAAATTCTCTTGCAATGCATCTGTTATCTGGGCTATCCAGAACCCAGCCCGCCCTGTGCCCGCTCCCCAGGCCTGGTAACTGCTCTCCTGGAGGCAGAGTGACAACAGGAGCAATGTTGTGTGCAGCAGTATCAGCTGGTGCCTTATTTGCATGTGTATTTGCATTTTCCCTCGTAATTGTTTGGGATAGTGACACTGAAAACAAATCTTGCCATAATTCATATGAAGAGTCAGCAGTGACTCCTCTCTTCAGAAAGAGGACAAAGCAGTGTTGAGGAAGAACCACAGGTAGAACTTTGAGGGAAGGGACACTTGAGAGAAGGGACACTGCTCTCTCTACTGAGGTTCATTCTAAGTGTTGTAAAGAGTCTCTGCCCAGTGAAGAGCTGCAGGCACAGAAATAGCTCCAGGAGTGTCCTGCATCCTGCAGTGGGTATAACCCTTCAGCAGCTCTGCTTGGCTCGTGCCACTCACATTCCAGAGCAGAGCTCAGAGGATCAGCCCCAGGTGAGGTGCCTGTGCAAGGAGCCACACTCTGCTTTATGGACATTACAGTGCCCCAAGGTGAAATCCTGCCACAAACCCTTTATACATGGAATTCCCACTCCTGTCAGAGGGATTTCCCATGTGGTGGGGCAGGACTGTGCCCACAATGGAGGGTATTCATACCAGAAAGCTTTAGACATTGGGTTCCTCTGCCTGAATTAACCAGTTAATTTCTCGGAGCTTCCTCACAGGAGGAAGAGGCTCTGGCAGCAGGAAACTCTGAATGTAGGGGACACCCTGCATCCAGCAGTGCTGCTGGAAGAGTCACTCTCCCTCCCTCCAGCTGGAGAATCCTCTGGCAGTCTCTGGACAGCTTAGCCAGGTAAATCAGAGGGTTGGAGGTGAGTGGCTCAAGCATTGCAGTGTTTTGTGCCAGTGCCCACACGCCAAGCCCACGACAGCCCCGCTTTGCTGGTGGTGGTTGGAAGCAGAGGCACATGAATCAGCAGGACTTTTCTGGATGTGTTTGCCCCAGCATATGGAAAAGTCAAATTTGATCAGGGTTGTGACTGCTGAGAAGGGCCTGTGCTGAGCTTTAGTGGACTGAACGTTGCAAAAGGAAGTTACCTTCCCCCACCCCATTTTAGAGGAAAAAAAAAAACAAAACAAAACAGGAACTGGGAGCCCAAAGCAGAGTTAATTAACAACTGCACTGCTCTGTGTTTGTGATGCGCACAACCAGGTTAGAGGAAATCTACAGGCAGAGATTGTGAGAGGAAGAAGTACTGTCTTTCCTTGAAACTCCAGATTACCAGTAGCAAGTGATCACCTGCTCCTAAAGGCCAACTGCATTCCCAGGGGAAAGCAATTCTGTGGACAACAGATCCCACCACGTCCCAGAGTCAGTGAAGCCTCCAACAGAATTTGGCTTCAGCCTTTTGCTGAACATTACACTTTATTATTATGGAGGCTGTTCTTTTCAGCCCCTGTGGCACCAGTTTCTACCTGGACTGGCAAGTGCACAGAAGAGATCATTGCTTGGGCAGATGCTCCCAACCAGAATGGAAGAGTCCTGGCTGTTTTTTAAAACTCAGTATAGGATATAAAGCCAGTAGCCAGCTACAATTGAGATTCTTATTTGCTTGCCATTCATGCAGCGGTATAATGATGTTATAACGTGCCCTGAGGAAAGGACAGCAGGACTCAAGGGAAAAAAAGCTGCCTCACTATTTTGGGAACCTCACCTGAAGCACTTTAGAAAGGTTTCTTTTCACAGTTATAAATTACTCAGATCTGAAAGCAGACCCAGCATTTGTGTGTCCCCCCCCCGTGTTCAAACCCCAAACTCCCTCATCCTCAGCGATGCTCTCTGGGGATTTTTGCAGAGTATTCCACATAAATCTCTAATGTGATACTGAAACTCTGCAAAGGGGGAAAGAACCAAATGAAAAGGGTTTGGTTCTTAATTTAAGGGGTGGTTTCTGACTCCAGGATCCGAATTTCACCGGATTCCTCATGAAGCTCCATCTCCCACTTGGTTACACATCAGCTCCGAGCGCCTGAACCCACAGGACTGAGTCCTTTGATATCACTTAGAAAGGTTAATATTAATATTAATATTCTCACTGAATTAGATTGTGGAGCCCTCAGTGGAGAGAGGTGTTTGCAGGATTGTGCCACACTGAATCAGGGACCCAGCACGCAGCAAAAGTTTCGTTCTAAAGCCCAACTTGCATTTTTTTTTGTAAATTCAAGTAATTCCATTTTCAGATTTACAAGGTAATTGTAGAGATTAAACACTTTGACTCACTACACTCGGCAGAAACACTTAATTTTAACTAGCCACTGATACGTATCTTCACATAAGCTGATGGGTGAATAAAGTTTTAGGCTAAAAGAGACATTTCCTTTCCATTACTTAACTTATATCTTAATATTGCTTCTTTTTCTGTTCTTTCTGGCAAAAATACAGAATTGTTTGTCTTTAAAAAGACTATTTTTTGCAGGAAAAAAAAGTACAAACCAAAATACGAGGTGTCTGACACTTTTAAGAGTCCAAATCAAATAAAATAAGAAATTATTAAAAAAAAAAAAGAAGAAGAAGAAGAAAGAGGTTTTAAGGACTCCTGACTCTTTAAATATAAAGCCAAATTTGAAAGAATTTCAGTTTTTTACAAAATTAATCATGTTTTCACTAGTCCATCCTTGCAGTGTAGAATGTACTTGGGGCAAGTCATTTGAATGTGGCTTTTTTGAGAGTGGAAAAATGAACGGGAGATTTTTAACTCCTGTGGTGAGACTGGATAAATGGACATTATGGCAGGGGTAGCAAATTATAGTGGGAACAGAAATGCTGGTATATCTGCAGCAGCTGGAAAAAAAAAATGTTCAGACTATAATGGCATCATTTGTTCTTTAGGAACCTCCTGTAGCTCCCGGTGCTGTTGGGCTTTAAGAAACTTTGCCAGGGATAGATGGAGTTATACAGTGCAATCTAATAAATTCTACACCCCTTTAATGTATAGATGCTCTTAATGAACTTGCAAATCATTTGCTCTCCTGCTTAATGTATTGAATCAATCTGGTGGTATGTGAGAAGCGCCTATAAATAGCTAATGCCATATGCTAAAAATTGTTACACTGATCAGCCTCTACTTCAAAAGGACAGAAAATTAATAAAAAGGAGATTTGAAGCAAAGGTTCTGAACAGGAGAGGCTGAATTGTCATCTGGAGAGACTGGCACAGGTGATGTGAGCAGAGGTGTGCTGCTCTCTGAATTTAAAGGTCTGGCCCCGCAAAAGAGCAATTAAAAGGGAAAACACAGTTTGCCCCTTCCTCAATGGCAAAGTACAAAACTCTGCATCCAGAAACTGCTCCTGCTGATGGAGCCTGCTGGGACTCAGGTGCCTGAGACCACTGTCACATCCCTGGCATTCTGTTCTACTCACATGTGAGCACACTGTCACATGTGAGAGTGAAGTGTGTGGCCCAGCATTTTAAGAGGTTTGTATGGTACGTAATTTTAAAAGGTTTAATTCAAAGGAGTCAGGTGAACTGTTGCCATAAAAGAATCCTCAG